GGACTTTAATTAAACAACAACAACAGAAGGGAAAGCACCTGGGCCCAATTTAATACCAGCAGAACTATTCAAAATTGACCCAGACTGGTAGGCACAGATTTTGGCTGCCTTTTTCACTGAAATAAGCAAGACGGGAAACATGCCTGAAATCTGGTGCAGTGCAATAATTGTTCCATTTTATAAAAAGGGGGACCCAACAGACCTGATGAATTGCCATCCAGTAAGCTTGCTATCCACTATAGGAAAACTTTATGCTGCAATGCTTCTTGAAAAGATGGATTCATGGGTTGAAGGAAACAATATTTTGGGAAAGGAACAGGCTGGTTTTAGAAAAGAAGCAAGTACTATTGACCATTGCCATACCCTCCAATTCTTGATTGATAAATACACAAGTTCTGGAGAAGGCATGTTGGCAACTGCCTTCATGGACCTAAAATCAGTCTAGACCCCAGATATGGGAAAAGCTGAAGAAATATGGCATTGAACCACGTCTCCTTTACTTAATTCAACAGCTCTGTAACCATCCCTCCTCCTGGGTTAGATGTGGGGTTAGGACAGCTGCCGGAGCCTTTCATCCTAGACAAAGGAGTCAAGCAGGGTTGTTTACTTACACCCCTATTGTTCAATTTATATATAAATGACCTCAGACCCTGTATCCTGAAGGAAGTATGTCATCTACCACATTTATCCAAGAACGAAGTTACAGTCCTTCTATACGCTGATGATGCAGCGATAATGTCTAGATCAATAGTGGGCCTCCGCAAGCTGATAAAAAAATTTCAAGCTTTACTGTTATCATGAGGGCTTGTCTATCAATGTGGTGAAATCCAAGGTCATAGTATTCACCAAAAGGAAAAAGGGGGAAATCTTCAAATGGGACATAGCAGGCCAACCTATGGAACAGGTCAATCAATTTAAATATCTGGGAATCCACTTTGAAGCATCTCTTACATGGAAAACACACTTGGCTCTAGCAAGGAACACAGCCTTGAGAGTAGGGAAGACAATTGTAAAATACTTCTACTCATCAGGAGGCCAATTTGTCCCCTCAGCCTTAAAGGTATTTAATGCATGGTGTGGAAATTTGGATTCAGGCCACTTCTGAAAAAAACGGATTCCAGCCAGTATGACTTTTTCCGACGATTATTGGCTACTCCTAGATCTGTCTTGGGCATAACACTGAGAGCGGAACTAGGCGAATTATTGATGGAAGCAAGGGCTTGGATTAAAGCATTTTTCTTTAAAGTAAAGGTTTTAAAATCTGAGGGAGGATCTACTCTAGTTGGGCTTTACAACCAATTTACAACATTACAACCAATGGGAGCAACTATTGAAAAAATGAAATTCTTATGAATAACAAATGATATGATTAAAACTATAGAAACTAAAGACATTAGAAGACAAATTAAAAATCTGTAAGGAAATTGGATGTTACAAGTACGTCTGTCAGGGCGCGCAGGGTATGTTCAACACTTCATTTGGGAATTGCCCTCCCGATGCAGCTGCCGAAATATTTTGATCAATTGACAGCCCCAAAACTAAGAAGAGCTTTTACTTTGGCAAGACTGAATGTTCTTCCCTCGGCAGTTTTGGAGGGCAGATATAATAAAGTATCATACTCTAATAGAACATGCAGATGCTCCTATCATACAATCAAAACCATTGAACTTATGATTATGGAGGGCCCTATATTCAATGAGTTGAGGGCTAATTTAGTCATCCCTTTACTGGGATAGGGAACTGCTAAATGTGTGAACCCATGTGTCATGGCTATTATCAGATACCAGTGATCGTGTCACCCTCTCAGTGGCAAAATTCATAGGCACAATAATCAAATCTAAGAGAAATAATACTGAATAAGGTCTTTTAAAATATTTTCTTTGGTTCTAATTTCTGCTTAGGCAATAGCCATATGAGCAGTACTAGATACATAGAACAAACTTTGTAGAACAGAACCTTTATTAATTGGATTAGACAAGCAGGTGACCTGCAAGGACTTGTAGGAGGCATGTTGATTTCCCCTCCCTCACTATTTCCTCTTTCCTGGCAGCCAAAGCCTCCATTCCCGGAAAGCCCCCGTAGTGTCCCCCTTTTCCTGCTTCCTTTTCTCCTTCCCACCCACTGGCCAGTCTACATTTCCTTCCCTTCTCTGACATAGGGTTGCCAGGTCCAATCTTCTCCCCAGCGGGGGGATTAGGGGGCGTTCCAGGAGGGGGTGTGGTTACCCCAGCACAATGACATCACTCTGCATGATGTCATCGTGCCCCTGCTTTTCCCCTATCATTTAAAAGGAAACTTCCCTTTAAATGGTATGGGAAGGAGAAGCTAGGGCCAAGCGCTCCTGCCCACAGCCCCCACTTGGTAAGATCGGGTGCCAGGTACTCCTGCCTTGTAAGAGGTGACCTTGCCTCTTGGAAGGCAGGAGCTGACAGCCCCTGCTCTGGAAGATCTGACGTGCGGTCCCGGTCCCTGCCCAGTGTGAGCACTAAAAGGCGTCCCTTTAAGTGCTCGCAGCTGGTGGGCCCTGCATGTCCATTCTCCAAGCGGCACTGCTGCTTGGAGATCAGGCACACGGGGGCCTGTCCTCGTCAGGTGTGAGCACTTAAAGGGGTCCCTGTAAGTGCTTGCAGCTGTTGGGCCCCGTGGGCCCAGTGTCCAAGTGGCAATGCTGCTTGGAATTCAGGCAGGGCGCCGGCAGCCACCCCTCTCCCTCCCCTCTCTCAAGAGAGAAGGGGGAGGGATGGCTGTGGGTGTTTGAGGGCTGGGCTGGAGGCGGGTTGAACCCCCACCCCCCAAAAAAGTGGGCAAACCCCACCAGACTGGGAGGTCTGGCAGCCCTAGTCTGGCACCCTCTACCTGGGAAAACGATAGTTCAGGTATGTGGCCCCAGCTGCCAGGCCCAGTTGTGTGGTGGGGAACCCAAAAGGACATCCGTAGAGCCCCTCCTTTCCCCCTGTATCCCCTTTCCCATACTGCTTTCTCTTGTCCTCTCAATTCTCCTTTCCACCCACCCAACAAGCTTTTATCTGCCACCCTTCTTCAACTGTATTTAGTACTGATATACTTAATTTATAGGCGAAGTTTCTCTACCATGGGGCCCAAAGTAGCTTATATAATTTTCTCCTCCATTTTATCCTTACAACAATCCTGTGAAGTAAGTTAAGCTAAGAATATGTGACTGGCCCAAGGTCACCCTGTGAGCTTCCATGGCAGAAGGGGGATTTGAACCTGGGTCTTATTGGTTATCTTATTGTAATATGTATTTAAGTTATGTGTACCTCAATATTGTTTGACCTCTGAAGAAGGCCCCACTAGGGCAGAAACGCATCAGGTCATATGTATTGGCCCTTGTGTTTAGGCTACTTTTACTTTTTTACGAGGCTTTCATTGGGCCCTTACATGTTTTTAACTGTCTTTCTAATAAATACATGTATTTTTGTATATTATAAGTTTCAACTAGGTTATTAATAAGGTAAAGGTAAAGGTTCCCTTGCTCGAAAGCCAGTCGAATCCGACTCTAGGGTTGCGGTGCTCATCTCCTTTTCAAAGCCGAAGAGCCAGCGCTGTCCGAAGACGTTTCCGTGGTCATGTGGCCGGCATGACTAAACACCAAGGCGCACGGAACGCTGTTACCTTCCCACCGAAGTGGTACCTATTTACTTGCAATTTCTTTCTTTCGAACTGCTAGACTGGTAGGAGCTGGAACTAGAGACGGGAGCTCACTCCGTCTTGCGGCACCTGGGTCTCGAACTGCTGAACTACTGACCTTCCACAGCCTGCAGTTCAGCGTCTTAACCACTTGAGCCACCGCAGCTCCAGGTTATTAATACTGGCTCTTTATTAGACTTCTTTCTTACCCTTGTGGTTCTTGATTCCAGTTTTTGGGTCAGGTTTGTTTTCCCCTCCCTGTCTTCCTCTCCCAGATGCTAGTCTGAAACTCTGACCACTACCTACGTTGGCCGTTGTGGGGTGGTAGCTGTTGAATAGTAGCAAGCAGCTGGTCCTCAGTGAGTCGTGTGGCATCAAGTCATTTAGTGATTGCTGCCACGGCTGTCCCCAGTGAGTCCTCTCTGAAAGTCTGAAACAGCCCTGCTTGCCAGTCGTATTTTTGAAATGTAGATTTCAGTTTTTTCTGTAAACCTGTCTTTCTCAGGTTTGTAGAAAGATCTGCTTTCCTGTTTTGTTACTCCAGTCTCTGGATTTAAATTTCCACAGATTTGGCCACATGGAGAGTTAGATTATATTTATAATGCTGGGTGCAAAATTGAGTTAGTGCTGTGTTTCACGAGGCATGAAAGGCTACAGGGACAGGAAGCAAACAAATAGCCCCTTTCCCTTTGAGAATATAAAAGTCAAGCAGTTAATCAGCTATCTTCCCAGGAGTAATTGGAATACACTGGTCCTTTGTAAGGCAGAGAGTATTAGAAAAATGTGGTAGTCTTTATATAAACTAAGCTGGAGATCAATTTTCGCTGATGAACTAGAGAAAAAGAGTCAATAGAAGTTAGCATAGGTAATATGACCCAGTGGTTGGATGACAAGCCGCCTGTCCCCCTGCCATAAACAAAGTCCCATTTCACAGTCATCTGGGTTCCATTGAAAAATCCCTCTGACAGTATTTTTCAAAACGAATGAGTGTAGGTAGCCATCTTAGTACATAGAGAAACTCCAAAAACAGCAACACAATACCTTCTTATTACCACTAAGAAAAACATCACAAATATTGAGCAAATTCCTGAATGCCCCAGAATATGAAGTTGACTGAAGGAAGTTTTTCTAATTACTCACTGTATATAGCTTGTGGAGAAAAATGCATTATCCCATTTAGACTACTTGTAGAACTTCATTGAATGCTTCTTTTTCTAGCCCATTAATGAAACGATGGTTCTGTCGTGATTGAACGTGGAGGATGACTCTAGAGGATTTCTCTCATGCAAGTACTGTGTGGTAGTAGAAAGCAAATGTGGAAAACCTATTTTTATGTGTGTGTTTTTTTCCAGGTAGTAGAAAAGAAAGGGAAAGAAGGAAAAGCCAGCTTTGGAGGCCCAGTTGTCAGCTCACTCTATCAGGAAGAAACCATCAGGTGACTCTCAGTGGTATTCTTACGGCTTCATTTTCATTCAGTATTTGTTTTGAACATCATGCAAACATTGTAGTGCCTTTCCAGCAAGATAAAAAATGACAGGAAAGAACTTTCTAGGCCTATAATTGTTTAAATCAATAGCTGTCTGTATCACTGCCAGGTACTGATCTTTCCTTAGTGTGGGATGTTGGGGTAAGGGTTTGTGTGCTCTCCCTACGTTTTCATTATTGTTCTTTAAAAAAAAAAAAAACACAAACCTTTATTAAAAGCGTTTTTGCCGTTATTTTTTTGGAAAGTACTGGTTTGGCACTGTAATGAGTTTTAAAACATGTCTCCCTTTTCATTTATGAACTGTATTCTGTATTAAATCCTTTTACTTCTAAGTGTTCAGTACTTAAGACAGAGTTTCTTGACAGAAGTGCTGTTTGAAGATTATGGATAAAGATGCTGCTATTAAACACGGCTGGTCAAGGAGAACAAAGGCAGCATGTTTTAAAAATTACACTGTAAAAGTAAGGTTACTAATTGAGGTCAACTTTGGAAATAAAAGATAAAAGGAAATTAAATTGGAAAATCTATGGTGATGCAGTGTGGAAGTCACCATTCAGGGAGGGAAACCAGGAAATGGAAAGTTTAGGGTTCTTACAGAAATGTTGATGTTGCAAACACAAATGGATTGCCCTCCTGTTAGATAACGTCTTTTGAAATAATGAAGGCAAAATGTAAATACCCTGTCAACCAACTCAAGGTTACAGTCTTTATGTGTAATTATTAAAGGGCAACTTCATTGGACTACTTTAAAGTAAACATGCTTAGAACTGCACTGTGTTAATTTTTTAGTTGATTTATCAACCGACTTTTAACTAATGTATTGATTATTCAGCTTAAAAATATTACCAAAACCTCACTGGCCTTTTTAAGCTATAACAGGAACTTGTAATTTTAAAATAAGTATGGTTTCTTTTTAAATCTCAGAATACCATGCCAGAACCAAAATAAGTGAGGAGAAAAATTGACAATTGTTTCCAGAGATGCAAACCTAGGCCATGGTGTGTGCCTGACAACACTGCAGTGATAATAGGAGTAAGAAAAATCCTTCTGCCTATTTCTGTCATTCTGAAGAAGAATGGCACCCAGAATCCACCACAGAAATATGATGAGCTTTGACTTCATCTTTCCTTAGCAGCCGAGCTAAATGATAGCACAATAAGGGAGGGGGGAAACTCCGAATACTAACAACATCCATGTTGTTTGAAAATATAGGGCATGGTTGTTATGGAAAAACTCACTCATCAGTTTAAAGTTCCGAATGGCCTTGCATATATCTCAGATTTGTTATTTACTTGGATACCATTTATATGCTATGTAGAGTCTCAAGGAGAATCGATGGATAAACCCCTTAAATTTAGATCAATATGCACTTATTGATTTAAATAAATGGAAGTGTGTGAGGAAGGATAACATTAGAAGAGGATAATGTGAGTAGTGAAGGAAAGGGTGTGATCCATAATTCTTCTTAAAAGTTCAAAGAATTTTATGTTGTGAAATGAGGCGGGTTTTGGTACATTTATGATAATTTAATATATTACTACTGTTCATTATTTTTACAACATATTTATTTTCCTGGAGTTGTAAGATTAAAATTTGAAAGAGAAGCAGGAAGATATAGCTGCAGACAAAGGAGCAGATGTGACAATATTCATCCAAGTTTTACAAGAATCGTTTGGTGCCCAGACTGAGGGTCAGGTTGGAATAGATGAAGAATATAACATGGCTCATACATAATGAAAAATCATAGCTTGTTATTATGGGAACACAAGAAGAGAATACAAGAACACAAGGACTTGCGGGGGGACTGCTGACGTGCGCTTATTGTTGATGTCATATCGTACCTGATGCAGAAGAACTGCACCTGTTGCCCATCTCCTCCTGGGGACGATTCAAAGTGATCTTTAAAGTCCTAAGCCGTTTGGGACCTTATGAGCATGCAGACTGGGAGCGTCGATGTGGTTCTGTTCCTGACCGGTGTCAGAATGTGGTGCTTGGAGACAGATGCACAGTGCTGTGGCTCTTGTACGCTGGAATCCTGTCGGGCTCCATCACGTCCCATGCTATTTAACTTAGACATGACTCCCATAGAAAGAGTTGTCCTGGGATTTAGGTTGAAGCTGCATTATTAAGCTGGTGGTTCCAAGTTCTGTTTCTGTTTTGTAGCCACATTAGGTAAGAGAGCAGGTGTTCTGAACAAGTGCTTGTACTCTGCGATGGCTGAGGAGAGCTAATAAAGTCTAGATAAGTAGTGGTACTGTGGGTCAGGAATGTAAATCAGGGATTTAGGAGTACCCGGTTCTGGATCGGGTTGCACTCCCCCTAAAGAAGCAGGTTCTCACCTGTTTTCTTCTGTAGTATATTACAGCAGCACCTTTAGCCAGTTTCAGGTGGATCACATGAACACACGAAACTATCTTATGCTGAATCAGACCCTTGGTCTGTTACAGTCAGTATTGTCTACTCAGACTGGCAGCAGATCTCCAGGGTCTTTAGAGGTCTTTCACATCACCTGCTGCTAGATTCTTTTAAACTGGAGGTGCCAGGGATTGAACCCAGGACCTTCCGCATGATGCTGTACGAGATGCTGTAGCACTGAGCCACAACCCTTCCCCAAAACAAAAGAACTACACTGGTTGTCTCCTAACTCAGTTTAAAGTACTAGTTATTTTGGCTTGGGGCCAGGGTGTCGTCTGGACTGCCTGCTCCCTTACTGTGCATTAAAGCTGTCATTTGACACATTGTGACACATCACTTCACCTTGGGGTATGAGATTTTTGCCGTGGTTTTATCATTAAGACTTTTTTTAAAACTGCCATTGTATTTTCAGTCTTGTTGTTAATGTAACTATCTTGGTAATTATTTTGTGTGGTTTAAGTATATTATGGGAAACTGAATGTTGTGTGTCGTTTTTATACAGAGTTGTTCCTTGCCAAGTCAGCAAACTGCTCTCAGCTTGCCCAGGAACTAGCAGTGAAATGGTCCAGTGTTCCCTCTAAGCTGAGTTAGTGTGAGCTAGCTCACAGTTTTTCAGCCTCCGGCTCACCTATTTTGTCTTAGCTCAGGAAGGATGGCCCCAGAGCAAACTGATCTATGCAGTAGCCAAATCACTAGTTCACAGCTTTAATGCCAGTAGCTCACAAAGTAGAATTTTTGCTCAAAAGACTCCACAGCTGAGAAGGGAGCATTGTATCTGGTAGGCCTGGAAGCAGTACATAGCTAATATTGATGTACACTCTACAGCTATTTTAATGTAACAGATTAGAATATCAAGATGATTTTCCTTGGAGGTTCTTAACACATCCCAAACATGCATATTTTCACATATTTACATTGCACGCAAGCAAGGGGAGGGTGGGTTAATTTTGACACACCTTTAGCCCTATGTTTTTAAGTGGTCTTCAGCTTCAAAATGTGTGTAAGTACAGTAGGTGTCATCTTATTCCAAGTTCTTACATATATAATGTGATCTTGAACAAATTTTCGGTGGGATGGTTCCCTGCTCCAAGTGATAGGTTTTTGTTTTAAATATTCTTTTGGCTATAAGTATGCTTCAGCATCGATAAGGTGTTTGCAGAACTTCATCAACATTTGTGACTATGATGCATTCCTGGTATGCCAGATTAAAAATTAAAATAAAATTCAGCATGGCAACTGACTGTTCAGGTTTATATAGTGAGTCATGTTTGTTTATTATCCGACTGCCTTCGGCCAGGACGTTTTTCACCCTGGCCACCACCTGGTGGAACTCCGTGCCGAATAGCATCTGTGCCCCGCGGGACATAATGCAGTTCTGCAGGGCCTGTAAGACAGAGGTGTTCCGCCAGGCGTTTGGCTGAGGACAGCGACGGCTTCCACCAAGCTGGCACTCCTGCCTCTCGCCTGACCTCTTTCCCCCACTGGGCGGTGGCGTACTCCGGGCGGTTTATCACCATCTGTTGGGGATATGTATTGTTGTTTTTAAGCTTTAAGTTATTTCGGAACCTGTGAACTTGTAAATGGACTTTGTTGTACACCACCCTGAGCCCTGCTTATAGGGGAGGGTGGTTTAAAATGTGAATAAATTGATATTACACTTACATTCCACCTTTCCTCCAAAGGGCTCAGAGCAGTGTACGTTGCACACACTCCCTCCATTTTACCTTCACCCCGTGAGGTAGGGTAGTCTCAGAGAGAGTGACTGTCTCAGGGCAACCCAGCACGCTCCCTAGGAGAGCAGAGATCTGGACCCAGGTCTCCCAGATCATGGTCTGATGTGCTGACTACGATACCATGGTGACTTTCAGCTGCCGCAGACAGGACCACATTCTAGTGGGAGGTTTGACAAGTCTGAAATGACAAAGGGGATACAATTTGGATATTAAAGTAATCACACTGTTTAAAAAAACTAAAGGTGCAGGGAGCATGACCCTGTAGCGCTTTTGTGTTTTGAAGGTTGTTTTAAAAAAATTAAATTTCAGCTTTCTTCTTCTGAATTTCTGCTTCGTAATTGCCAGTGTGGATGGGTTTTAAAGTAAGGTAGTTTAACAATGCACACCAAAGCAGAGTTAGACCCTTCTAAATCTATTGAAGTCAGTGGCTTGTCACACTAACTCAGCTTAGAGGGAACACTGCTTGCGGGTGTGACAAACAAATGACTAGAAATCAAGAGTACATAGAAGACAAAATTGTCTTAGTTTTCATGTTCTGAAGCGCTTTCATCAGAATTTTTCAAAAGTCTCATTTTACATTAACAGCTGCACGTATTTGGATCTGTAGTTTTCCTGTGTTAAAGGTTGTGATGTATTTTAATCATTAAATAGTTCCGATTCCGACGCCATTTAGAAAAAGTATTAACAGTCTGCTAACATCACGACAGGGGTTATTGTTCTGCTGTTACAATGAGGACTGAGAGCTGTGTTCCAGTTTCACTTCAGCGATGAATTTGTGACTGAAGCCCCATTGATGCTGTC